GGCCTTCTCACACACCGTCCTGACGGCGGCTGCGCCCCTGCTCTCGGTGCCCGAGACAGCAGCTGGCAGCTGCATGGGAAGCCCGCCTCATTCGCCCGCCTGGGCCTGTGGGCCCTAATGCTCCTGTGCCTGTTCCCCTCCCTCAACCAGGCAGCAGCTGGAAACTGAGAAGAAGAGGAGGGAGACGGTTGAGCGGGAGAAGGAGCAGATGCTGCGGGAGAAGGAGGAGCTGATGCTGCGCCTGCAGGACTATGAGCAGAAGACCAGGAGGGCCGAGAAAGGTCGGCTGGCGCCCTGACTGCCCAGGCTGGCTGTCCCCACAGAGGCAGGCAGGGTCCCCGCACACAGCTGGGGGGAGCCTTCCAGAGTGTCTCAGTTTAACATGGTACCCCAAAACAGCCTGATCAGAGAAACGACCCACTTGGTTCCCTCCTGTGCTGGTGGTTTTAATTTTCCCAAAGTCCCTCGAGATGAGGACACTGTCAGCCTTTGGTGGCAGCCTGGGCGTGGCAGAGCCATGCTGCACTGCTCCCAGCCTCTTGACTCCACCAAGGCCACCTGTGAAGGCCAGACCCCTCAGCACAGCCCGGTGGCTCAGAACACAGCTTGGCTGTGATAGTCCCCCAGGCTCCTGACCAGCCCTGCCCTGGAGGGCTCTTGGTGTGGCAGGGAGATGGCTGTGTTCGCTGGCAGCCTGGAAAGACCGGCGGGGAATTGGCTGTTACAGCGAGTGCCGAGGCGGTGAGACTGAGGATCGTGGTACCGCAGGGCACAAGGGTCGGACCCAGCCGGGCCGGTGTCTGACCTCTCGGCAGTGGTTTCTAACTGTCTGGAGGAAGTTGTGTGGAAACATGATGGAGTGAGCCTGAGACCTCCCAGGGGACAGCTGGCCACCTGTGACTCATCCCGGGCCCGTGGTCCTGGGAATGGCTTCGAGTAGGACTCTGGTCCCTGGCCTGGGGTTGGAACCGCTCTGGCTTCGTATTCCCTGCAGAACTCAATGACCAGATCCAGAGAGCCCTCCAGCTGGAGGACGAAAGGAAGCGGGCCCAGGAGGAGGCGGAGCGACTGGAGGCTGACCGCGTGGCTGCGCTCAGGGCCAAGGAGGAGCTGGAGAGACAGGCGGCCGATCAGATAAAGAGCCAGGAGCAGCTGGTAGGGATTGCCTGGGTTTCAAGATGCTGAATTATAGAGGGGCTGCTTCTGGGGATCGAAAAAGCGACACCTGCCTTGTAATGGCTCTTCTCTGAGGCCGTAATCGGATCTACCGGAGGCGTGTAGCAGCCACCGGGGAGGGGGCTAGGGACTTGCTGTCATCTGTGCCCAGTCAGGGAAGTGGACCTGAGCGTGGGTGTCTGGAGTCCCACACAGACACAGGTCAGCTCGGATGAGCCCTGCTGACCCCGGGGAGCGGGAGGGATGCAGTGTGTCGGCAAGTGGAGGCTCAGAGGATTTCAGAAGCCGCTTGGCTCCGCCTTCCCTTCCAGGCTGCGGAGCTCGCCGAGTACACTGCCAAGATCGCCCTCCTGGAGGAGGCGCGGAGGCGCAAGGAGGACGAGGTTGAGGAGTGGCAGCACCGGGTGAGTCTGTGCCTCGGAATCCTGCCTGTTGTGGCCCGCAGTGGGTTAGGAGAGTCCAGCTTGACCCCGGGTCGCATTAGAAGCTCCTGGGACATTTTGCATCCTTGGCCAGCACCTGCTGTGCTGCTGAAGCAGAGATCCACAGGAGCGGGCTCGGCCTGTACACCAGTGTGTGCAGCTGCTGGATCAACCTGCTAGTCCACTCCACCACTGCCCCGCCTCTGAGCTGCTCACCACGATCAGACACCCCTGCTCAGGAACTAGTTTTAAATCCAATTGTTTGGGCCCCTGTGACAGAAATAAGACCTCCTGGAATATATTGGAGGGTGTGTGAAAAGGACCTCAGAGGTCTCCAAACCAGAGCGGGAGCCCAGGCTCAGCGGCGTGGCCACCTGGCCAGGAAGCAGGGATGGCCTCCCCTCTGAGCCTCACTTTCCTTATGGCAGTAGGTGGTGAGACCCACCTGTGAGCTCTCACTATGGACCCTGCACAGGTTTGATGAGCTCTGATTGCAATCATGAGACCTTGCAGAGCCTGTCCTCCACCTGTGGTTCTCTGTGCCCTCCAGGACAGCACAGGGTCTAGGTGTGGTTCATGTCATGGACTTAACACCAAGCTTTGGGAGGCCCCCTCCCCTTCATCCTCCCACCTGTCTGTCTCTAGGACTGCCCTCCTGGGTCACTTGTAACTAGCCTCCCTGGCTGCCTGGCGTGTTTTCCACCTGCTACACACAGAAGGCTCTTTAGGTTTTTGGGAGAAGGTGGTCATTATAAAGTATTAAGTGAGAAAAGCTGGTGACAGAACAAGGCAGACTGAGCTCACCCCCAGGAAGCACTTGGAGGCAGGGCTGGGCATATGTGTCCTGTGAAGATGTTGGGTGGACTCGGGGTAATGGTAGGAAGGTGTCAATAAATGTAGCCCACAAGGAGGGCAGTAATTCACACCAGTGTTGTGTGTGCTGCTCTCTGGGATGTGGAAGACTTGTTTCCGAATATATATACACAGTAGGTGTGTAATAGGGTCATATAGAGAACAAGGAAGGGTTCTTTAAGAAACGTCCAGCTGGGGCTGGGGTTGTGGCTCAGCAGTAGAGCACTTGCCTTGCACGTGTGAGGTCCTGGGTTTGATCCTCAGCACCACATAAAGTAAACAAACAAAATAAAGGTATTGTGTCCAACTACCACTCAGAAATAAGTATTTTTAAAAAAGAAAAAGAAACACCCAGCCTCTGGCACGGTGTCGCCTGTGCCGTGGAAGTGATAAGGACAGGGAGAGCAGCCCACTTCTGCGGAGCCGTGCTGGGGCTGCACTGTTTTAGCTCCCAGGAGCGGGGGACGGAATTCTTGTGCTCCCCACGAGGAGACCACGCCGGCTTCTTAAAGTAGTGCCAGCGCAGGGACCTGGGGGAGAAGCTCCCACCTATTTATTTGCTTTCCAAAGGCCAAAGAAGCCCAGGACGACCTGGTGAAGACCAAGGAGGAGCTGCACCTGGTGATGACCGCGCCGCCGCCCCCGCCGCCCCCGGTGTACGAGCCCGTGAGCTACCACGTGCAGGAGAGCCCGCAGGAGGAGGGCGCGGAGCCCATGGGCTACAGCGCCGAGCTCTGCAGCGAGGGCATCCTGGACGACCGCAACGAGGAGAAGCGCATCACCGAGGCCGAGAAGAACGAGCGCGTGCAGCGGCAGCTGCTGGTGAGCAGGGGCGGGGCGGGGCCTGCTTTGCTTTCACCTGGGCCGGTGCCTTTTAAACCGGGCCACCACAGGGGTCCTCTCCACCCGGCAACCTCTCCCTTTCCCAGCGGAGGGGTCTGCATGCCCAGCCACTCGGTGGTGTCCCAGGGAGGGCAGGTGCTGACTGCTGCCGCTTCACGTTGCAGACTCTGAGCAACGAGTTGTCCCAGGCCAGAGATGAGAACAAGAGGACCCACAACGACATCATCCACAACGAGAACATGCGGCAGGGCCGGGACAAGTACAAGACCCTGCGGCAGATCCGGCAGGGCAACACGAAGCAGCGGATCGACGAGTTCGAGGCCATGTAAAGGCCGGGCCTGAGGGTCCCGGGCAGACACGTCACACTTGGCTCTTTAGTACTCTAAATCTAGAAGCCCCTCAACATGTTCCAGGTCCCTTTTAAAAAGAGCGGTTCCCCAGCAGAAGCCTCTCTGGTTTGTTCTTCCCAATTGTATGCTAGTGCCAAACAGGCCTGATTTTTATGAGAATTATTGAATCACTTCCTGTTTTATGCTTGAAGCAGGACTGATGGAATTAAGGAAAGATTCCTGTAAAGTCTGAGTGACAAACTTCATGCTGGCCTGTGTGATCCAAGGTGCAGTATCATTAAAGAAAACCACACCGTGGCTTACATCTGTGCCATACTTTTTCTGTTTTTGAAATGAACTCAAAATTGATTTGTTCTTGATTTCTGTGAAGGGTCCATCTCTGTATATTTTTGTTGAGGGGTGACAATTATTTTGAAAATTGAGTCTAAAAGCACTCTCCACACAGTGATTTCCTTTCTCCAGACATTCAGTTCTGCTGGCAAAAATCTGCAGTGGTCATTCAGAAAGAACGGTACAGGAGGACTCTCCGGTAAAGTTTTTTTTTTTTTTTTTTTTTTTTTTTTTGCTTAACAGTTAGAATATGCTGTTGGACTTATATTCTTAATTAATGATCAGCTGTAGAATATAGTATTTATATATGTGATAATATGGGTTTGTAACATTAGTTTTAAAAAGGGAAAGTTTTGTTCTGTATATTTTGTTACCTTTTACAGAATAAAATAATTACATATCAAAAAAACCATGTAACCACGGCCCTGGAACTGATGTGACGTGAGGGCAGTAATGAAACTGATTACCTGCTGTAATTGCAGTGTAAAAATGTCTTATGGAATTCTTTGTGCACATAACTGCACACTTCAGTTTTCTAAGATTGTTCAGACTCCAACCATGAAGGGACTCTGTCATCATGAAAACCTCTTTCTGATCAATTTCTATTCTCTGCTATGTCCTCAAAACCTATCGACACAGTGGCTTTCACGAGCTGTTGGCTGGGCTCACTCCTGGCCCTTCTCTGTGGGTTGTCCTTTTTGGTTGTCTCATGCCAACAAATTCCACACTGCAGACACGAAATAAAAGTTGTCCAAGGCGGTGTGCACAGTGTGGTCTGCTCATGCGTGGGTGGGAGGAGCTCCAGGAACTCACCTGGGTCCACACCATCCAGTAGCTGTGCCGTGTGGGAGGCCCCAAGCCCTGCAGGCCCCTCAGGAGTTTGACCTGGCAGTCCCTGTGGCCGGCTGACCTGCTCTGCCACAGGAGGGGAGGGAGCATCGGATACTCACCAGGCTCGTTTTTCCTCTGAAATGTGCAGAAAAGCTGTGATTTTTTTTCACTATTTGCCAAGCTCTGAGAGACGGGGTAACTGCCAAACATTTATTGAAATATGGCCATTTTCCACCTCTCTCAGAGAACAGCTAGGAACCCATCTGAGACTTAGGTAACATGTATAACTGCTCTGTTAAGTACACAAGACATGAGGGACATAACAGAACAACCAGGGGAGGCTGCACAGTCCAGAGGGCCCATCCATCCACGGTCAGCCTGTGGCTTCTGCAGGCTCCAGGCTTTGGCACATCCAGCATAGCCTGGAGCTCCGAGGCCTTCACTTCAGTGCAGGATGAGTGTCATGTCCGTCCATAAGTTGGGGCTGGAGAGAACCTTCTGCCATTGCAGCCTTGATTGTGCATATGAATCTGCACCAGCTGTATCCCCCTCTGACGTGAGACAGACACGTTAGTTAATGGTTGATGAGCACGCCACTTCATCCTTCCCAGCTTTTTAAAAACAAGGCCCATCAAGAAAAGTGGGGTTTTGGCATCAACTGGAGACTATGAAAATGCCAACCACTGCTGGGTTTGAGACTCCCCCAACGACATGTGAGTGCAGGATGTGCTGCAGCCTTGGAGCAGAGGCCCTGACCTCCAATTCCTTTCCGGGGTCTTACGGGAGGACGGTTCTGGTTTGGTGGCTGATTCTTCACTGTGAGGAATCAATATCCTGATACGGGGACTGTGTATGGCAGGGGCTGGATCTGTTGACGGAAGGGGTTCCCTAGAGGAGAGCTGTGCTTTGGACAGCGTCCCTTAGAAAAATCATTCTTACTTATCTGTAGTTCTCAGCTGGATGTTGTTAGAGCTGTGTGCAGGCGTTTGGGGTTGGCACTGTGTGGAGGGCGCTGCTGGCAACCTGCAGGCGGGGTGGGGCACAGAATCCTCCCAGACAAGGGCTGCCCACAAGCACAGTGCCAGCAGCTCCCCTGTGAGCAAGACTGAATAGTGTCCCTGTTTGTCTCACTCTCAATGAAGCACTTTCTGAATTGCCATTTGTTTGGGTTAAGATGTTTTCCTTTAAGAAAATAATCCTCTTATGATTGACAATAGAAACAAAAGCAAATACTGTGCCTGGCCTGTTTTGAGGCCCAGAACTTAGTTTCTTTAGCAGATCTAAATCTGATTTAAATTGTCAAAATACTTGGCTGTATTATCACTCCGTGGTAGAGTTAGGCCTAGACTTAGGAATTTCTATTTTTGGCAGGTAGGCAGTGCTACCTACAGCCAGTTAAATCGCTGCCATTGTGTAAGTATTTTCTCTCTTCCTGGTACCCATGTAGGACACTCGCTAAGTACTTAATAAAACACTGGGAGACAGTCTGGGCCCATGGGGAATCAGGCAGACTTACTTGAACCAAGTCTGGCTCCCCCCAGCAAGCGGTCGCTCATTCCAAAGATGGCCTGGTCCCAGACAGTCAGTTCCAGGCTCGACTGCCTCAGCTGAGACCTGCTGACGCCATTGAACACAAAGGAGTGTTTCCACTGGGGGTGAGCTTGCTTCTTCAGCACGGGGGACCTCAGTCGCAGCTTTTGTTGGTCTGGCAGAGTGAGACAGCTAAGGAGAGAAACAAGATGCTGCGATCGGGACACTGGGGCCTCACCGCAGCCTACACCGCAAGCGCTGCTTCCAGCCTGAGCACTAACCCAGTGAGCGTGGGAATCACAGGACCTGACCGCACGACCTCACTAGGATTTTCCAAGTTTCTTTTTCAGCTGGATTCCGTGTAGGTATTAAGGGTAAATTGGAATTCTGAGGCCACATGGCCCTCACCGTAATCTCCTTACAGCCCTTCGAAGGCATGGCTTATTAGAAGTGCCGCCCAGGGACCATGGCTCTGTATACATGTGACTCATTGTATACTGTTGTCAGCAAAACACATTCAGGAAGGCTACCTATCTTGCCCAAGGACATGCACGGAAGTAATAAGATCAGGACCCAGGCTCGGTTCTGTCTGGACAAGGAGGCCTTCATGTTTCCACCCTGTCTGTGACTGGGGATTTAGCATTTCAATATAACATTCAGTGGTGTTTGCTTTGCTTTTAGAGGCACCAGCGCACCTGCAGTGACTTAAGTGTGGAAAGTCACCCGTGCGACAGTTAATCCAAGAGGCGGTGTTAAACCAAGGAAGTATCTGCTGAACACACTTCTTTCTTCTCATACTTGATTTCAATCGAAACTGATTTTCTGATATAACAAGAACTGACAAGATTTGGGTTTCAGGTCAAAATGTACTATCCCAAATAGGTCTCAGCTTGCCCACATCCCCTGGATTTGTGGAAATCCGGGCCCTTCGTGTTTGCTATAGGAAAGTTGAAGTAAGAAGACTTTAAAATGGCTTACATTTCTGATGTTTCCTCCAGGTTCTAGGAACATACTGTTTGTATTCTAGATAACCAGTAAACAGTATCTGGTTGCATCGAATACTTACCCTTTAACAAATGAGTTTAAGGTACCATCCGACCGCACAGGTAAGTTCTTGGCGCCCAGCACTACCAAACAGAGTTGACCATTAAGTGATGGCTGATCTGTCCCTGGAAGAAAGCCAGTTCCCACTGTCAAACCCACTTCTCCAGAGGCATTACAGTCCTACCACCCCCAAACTGAGCTCAGTAAGAGGAGTGTTAGACTCCAGGCCGGGAAGAGCAGGCAGGAAGAGGCACATTTCCCCCAGAAGGCTCTGCTAGCCCTGGCCACACGCTGAGTGGTCCGCACAGGGACGGGACTGCTAAACCCCCAGCGAGGCAAAGCTCTGAGAGTACACTGGCTTCTAGGGAGAGATGTGGAGGTTTTAGTCTGGCTGTTGCCAGTAGGTTTGGGGAAACTGGGAGCCCCAAACCCATTTCAGGGAGTTAGAGGTGACCATAGGGTACCTGCCACTGGTCTGCTGGTGGTCTCATGAGCTCAGAGGCTCTTCTTCCCACCAAATAGTCACTACTCAATGGAAATATGCATCATCCCTGTCTACTTTGCCCACCCTCAGGGTCTCACAAGTTCAACTCCCTAAAGGCCCTGCAGGACCTGTCCTTGATCCACATCACTCACGGGCAGCAGTCGCCCTTCTGAGACCTGCAGGTACCAGCACCTGACAATTGCTCTTGGCTCCTAAAGTCAAACTCCTAACTTATGACACATGTTGTCAGGTGTACCTTCTTCCAGAGGGGACATGGTTTCACCAGACCCTGTCCAGTCTACCCGTTGGGAGGGACGCCTTGGAGACAGTGAAAGTGGACACTGAAGGCCTTGCCTGCTTTGGTCACCCACGTCCCCTGTAGGCCACAGGTTCCAGGGAACACCTTCCCAGGGAGCTTCTGCCTCTCAGTCTCTGGGACATGTGGGTGTCAGTGTGCAGTGGGTAGGAAATGCTAGAAAGCCTTTTGCCCACCTCTCAGCATGACACCTTCCAGGCTTTGGGGACAGTGACAGAGGAGTGCTCAAGGGGCTGGCCACCTACCTTCTAGAGCTTCCTGGGACTTTCTGGGCCCTACAGGGAGAACCAGTTTGGCCCGAACAGCAAGTTCTCCATTATTCTGAGGAATGCTGTCTTCAAATTGCTCATTCTGGGGGTGCAAAGGCAGAGCTTGAGACAATTTCTCCCAGAACCTTCCTCCCTCCTCTGGCTGCCTCAGCTCTGACTCTAGATGTCCCCCACCACCTCTGCAAAGCCTCTCCAGCCCAGGAGAGCCCAGGGATGGATTGGGCACGTCCCTGGTGGACTGGTCATCCCCCATCAGCAGGGACTTGTCCTGCCACCCTCTCCTCTCCCAGGCTGGGGAGAACAACTTTGCCTCCCCAGAAAAACCAGAGGCAGATGTGCCTGAGGAAACAGGCCCATGGGAACAACAGGACAGTTGTAATAAAACCTGGATACAACCTGAATTTGAAAAAGGTAAATAAAATAGCGTCCCTCCCCAGCAATTCTACCCAGGACAGTGAGGTTCCAGGCCACCTTTCCATGCCAAGGTCAGCTGCAGGCACTGGAGACAGAGGAGCCCTGAGCAGACTCGACCCAATGCCACAGGGTGGCTCTCCAGGCTGTGGGTGCCACATTGTCCTGACCCCTGCCGAGGACAATACCCTGCCTACAGAGATGGCCTCTCTGGTCACGAGTGATTTCTCCAGAGTGAGAGAAGTGCCCAGAGCAGAGGTGGTCCTGAAATCTTTCACCCGGGGCCGGAGAAGTGTCCTGGGAGGGATCCATGTGCCTAGCCCATCCCACCAGCAGAAGCAGCAGCCCCCATAGTAGCAGAGAGGGCTCAGGACTCCTGGGACGGTGTGGGCCAGCCTCCTCGATGCCGAAGCATCTCTTCCTGGCCCCTGCTGTGACCTCTGCCACACTCAGGATAGAACCAGGTGCCACCCTTAGGGCCCCTCCTGCTGGAGCCCTGGGGGCAGGCCTGTGAGTAGGCATTCAACATGCAGCATGGGGTCGCAACCCACCAGCTGGCATCAGGAGGACCTTTGAGCTTGGCGCTCTGCCCCTTGCTTGCTTGTCAAAGGTTCGGTTTGACAACCTTGGCGGCCTTATGCAGGCCCTTGTGCCAGGTACTGGCACAGAGATGCTCCAGGCCTCGCAAGCTGACAATAGAGGAGTGGGGGGTGCAGGGAGCACCGGGGTTTATCCTCTGGCAAATGAGTTCACAGTGGCCATGCCGGACACTTGGTCCCAAACAGGCCTCACCTTGGCCCGGAGCGGATACCAGCGGAAGGACTGTGTTGCTCTGTCTTCAAAGTCCCATGTGGCCAGAGGAACAGTCACTTCTCCAAGGAACACCCTCCTGGTGAGCGTGCCCAGGTGCCACACAGAGACTTGCAGCTGCCGGGTCGCCAGCTGGGCAGCGTCCACCTGATACTGCAGAGCAGAGTGGAGACGGTCAGCCAGGCTCCCGGGCCCCACCTCCCAGGGCCTGTCAGCCTCTCCCATAGCCAAGCTCCAAGATTTGGCTGCAGCCAGAGTCTCTATGGTCAGGGTGGCAGCTTGGAGCCAAAGCCAGGAAGACCCCTCTTCCTCAAGAGTCCCCCCACTCCCCAAGTGCCTGGGCTCTCAGTCCTCCATGCCACCCCTGATTCCTCACCCCCATTTTTCAGGACAAGATAAGAAGGAAAGTTCTCATCCAGTCCAAGGCTTCAGGAAATCAAGCCGAGACCACCAAGGCGGGACTTGGACATGGACCTGGCCTATACAGCACCCAGCCGGGTCCAAAAATACTAAAAATAAGACTGTTATTTTTAAAAATTACAAAGTATTGGGGCTGGGGGCCTGGCTCCATAGTAGAGCACCTGCCTAGTGTGCCCAAGGCCTGGGTTTGACCCTCAGCGCTGCAAAAACTAAAACTCAAAAAATGAAAATACAAAGTCTGAGCTTTTACCCCTTAGGTTTGCCCTAGACAGACAAGGCACACAGATGGCAGCAGCCTGTGACACCTCAGCACACCTCAGCACCTCAGCCTGTGACAAAGACCCCTGTGCGCCTGTTTGAAGGCTTCTCAAGGTGTGGCCAACCCCGCCTCAGCCCCAGGGTCTCTTTTGAAGACTAGCAGTTGGATTGTCCCAACAGTGAAGACTGTCACAAGTTACTGAGCCCTCCTTCTGCAGGCTTCTGGTTGCCCAGATCCTCAGTTTTTACATGCATCCTGTGAGATCAGTATCACTTATCACCATGTGACCCTGAAACATAGCAGCCTAGAAATCCCCCGAGTCTCCTGTGGCCTAGAGGCCATCCATGGTGGGCCAGCATCCTCACCTACTGTGTCCAGCCTGGGTTCTCACTGCTGGCCCTGCCTGGTGCTGCCCCCAACATGGCGCTTGCTGGGGTGTGACTCTCAACCCTTCAGGACCCTCTAGGCTGTCCCAGGGGAAGGCAGGACACTCACGGCCACCTAAAGCAGGTGGGCAGGGGTTGGTTTGGTTTTGGTCTCACCTATCCCGGCCACCTTTCCCTTTAAGGGATGAGATAGAAACAAACCAGAACTGAAGTGCACTTCTCCCCCTCGGTCTCCCCAGAGGGAAGGGAGGGGGAGCTCTGTCCCTGGCCCTTCTGTCTTGGCTGTCCTTCTCTTCCTGCTGGGGTTGCTGTAGCCAGTAGGTCAGGAGCTCTGGGCCGTGTTCCCCCTCCAGGGCTGGGCTGGTTTTCCATGCTTTCCCTCAAGTCCCCGGCCTGTTTGTGACTCTGCCCACATTCCTGGCTCTGGCTGGGAACTCTGGAATAACCTGGCTGCTCCTGCCTGCCCCGCGCCCAATCAGTTAAGCCCAGACCTCTCTGCCCACCTGCTGCACTCTGAGAAGTTCACTGCTCCAGGGAGGGTCAGGAGGCCATGGCCTGAGGCCACCCTCCTGGAGGCAACTCCCTAATCTCCACTGCTCTATGACACTCACACAGCAGCCCCTCCCCAACTCCCCCACTTAGCCCTGCTCTTCTCTTTGGGTCCTCACCTACTGGTCACCCTATCTGATAAGCAGGACAGCACTCTTCTTGTGACTGAATCTGCTATGTCAAATTAGATTTTCCATCATCCTGTAGTCCATAGGCCTGCTCCAGCTGACCCCGAGAGTGCTCTCCATTCCATAAGTTCTGGCATATAAGGATCTTCAGAGAACAGAAGGCTGCCCAGACCTGGGTCTCAGCTGGTCCTTCCCAGGTCCCCACTGCAAGGATCTCAACAGAGAGCTGCCCAAATTGTACTTTAATCAGGAAACTTTTGGATTCTCAAATTTCACATGCACTTTTGTCAAAACCAGTTGGAGAACGCCCTGGAGGCTGTTATCTCCCCAACCTTCCTGTGGCCTGCCCTGGGCTCTACAAACCTAGGAGCCCAACCAAGGGGTAACTTGAAATACTGGTTTCCCCAAGGTTTTTAATGACTGATCTGCTCTCCAAGCCCTGCATCTTTTCTGTATTACGTGAATTTCTTTAAGAATAAATCTGGCCGGGCACAGTGGCACATGCCTATAATCCCAGCAGCTCAGGAGACTGAGACAGGAGGATCACAAATGCAGTGCCAGCCTCAGCAACAGTGAGGCGCTGAGCAACTCAGTGAGACCCTGTCTCTAAATAAAATACAAAATAGGGTGGGGATGTGGCTCAGTGGTTAAGTGTGCCTGAGTTCAATCCCTGGTAACCAAAAAAGAAAAAGAAATCTAGACTGTGTCGGGATCCTCTGAATTTAGATGAAAACTTGATTTTTTTTTCAAAAATATCTGGATAGTTTCCCAGGACTACAAAATATTCACAATAGACTGGATGAAACCCTTGAGTAAATGTAATTTTAAATGATTTGAGATTCTGTGTATAATTTAAATAAGGTAGGAAAAACTGTTTAAATTGACCTGTGTAATTAAATATTTATCTAAAACAGTCCCCATTTCATAAACCACTTCTAGCACAAAACACCTTATTAAACTTATGATGAGACGTTTTAGATATCAACTTAAATGTGTGAGACAGCACAGAGTTTCCCAAATTCTCCAGCAGGCATGGGACTCCAGGGTGGTCTGCAGCCCAGGCCTGGCCAGGGGTGGGGAGTAGAGCTTAGTAGAAGAGAGGCACTGCAGGTCCCACCCACAGCTGCTGAGTCAGACTCTGCAACTTTAAAATAACACCTCTGGGGGATTCCTAAGCCCAGGAATACCTTCCATGCTGGTTTCAAGCTAAGCTTTCAAGTATTCCCAAAGTCTCAGGTCCCCCTTGGTAATGAGGGTTCTAATGCCTACATCAGTGTAGATATAAAGCACTTGACCACAGCAGGGGGCCCAGCAAACAATGACGATTATTATTTAATGAACTTGTCGCTCTGTGCCATCCACCCAGATGGCCCCTGGCTCACAGTTCACAGATGCCTCTGCTTGCCAAGGAAGCAAACAAAACCCTCTCCTTTTGCCAGTGTGAGACGGCAGGACTTCTGGTTTGCCCAGTCCTGGCTGCGGTGTCCCCCAGGTCTAGACTACCCTTCTGGCTGGGGCTCCCACAGTTGGCTGTCTGCCTGTGCTGGGCCTCCACTCTGCCTCTTCACCCCAAATCAGAGAATGAGGTCTCAGCTCTGTTCTAAGAAATCATATTTCTTAGCATCAAAGAAAGTGAGAACCCAAACAATTTCTTTATAATTTTTTTCATAAAATAAGAAGAAAACAGGCGTTTTGGATATTACAATAAAGAGCACTTCATCAAAGGTAGTGACTTAGTCATTTGATTTTCAGGGCCCCCCTGCTTGAAAATGCCTGATAATCATAAAAATTCGACAAGACAAACCAATTTCTAAGCCACTCTGTGCCCAGACATGGCCTGAGACATACAGGCAGTTAGATTCTTTCTCCCCATTTTCTTAGAAATCATTAATCAAAGCCCTTCTCTAGTCTGGCCGACTCTGCACTTCTCTGGTTCAAAGGCTGAAATCCATTTTCACCCAACCTGCCACTGATTGACAGAGAAATGTATAGGTGTCTGCACTTGTGTTTAACTGATTTGAGGGTTTAAAGAGCCACCCGTTGGACTCTGACCCTAGACGTGAGCCCAGCCCAGGACGGGAAAGACACAGAGCATGAATGTACCACAAGTACCTTCAGGGTCTCCTGAAAGGTCGGGTCCAGTGTGTTCTTTTGGACTGCAGTCTTGCGTTTTCCCTGAGAGGATCGGTCAGGCAGCAGGTAGGTCTTTATATACCTAGTGGCCAAATGCAGAAAGACAAACTGGGGCTCTGAGGGCAGGTGGGCTTCAGAGGAGCAGAGCGCACATATGAACCTTTTCTTTACCTTGTTTCTGACTAGTTTTTGAGCTGATAGAAAGGACTCAGGGACCAGGACTGACATGAACAATGTTAGTGCTGAGTGTACAGCTGCTGATTCACAAGGTCATGGCAAGGGGCTGGAGCTCCCGCTGCATTGCTCATCCCCTGCTCCTGGAACCTACAGCCCCCTCCTCCTCCTCGTCACCTGCCATTTGATGAGGACCATGAAACGGGATTCTCCAATCTGCCTGGATGTCCAGGCCACACACCAGCTTCCCCTGTCTGCACCTCCACCTGCATTTCCTCCAAACAGTGGAAGTGGAAATGGAAAGTTCCTGACTCCGGGGGCCTCAAAGGCTGCACTTCTTCTGACTGCTGAGGCAGTTTTGAACTTTCATATCCACAGGATTGCATACAGACATTCTTTTACAACTTGTTTTTCCTCTCCATGTGTTTGAGATTTGCCTATATTGCTATGTGTAGCTGCAGCTCATTCATTTACATTCCTACACATTGTTCCATTGTATGAATATGACACAAATCATTTATCCTCGTGAGGAACCTTTGTCTTATGCCTTAGTGTTTGCTTTATAAACAATTCTGCTATGACCATTCCACCATGCATGTGTGAGCGCTTCTCTAGGCACAAAACTAGAAGCGACAGGGCAATGTGTTTCCCTCCACACCCACACCAGTGCTCAGGGTGGAACCCAGGGCCTTGGGCATGGTGGGGAAGTACTCTACCACTGAGCTACACCCCCACCAGTATGTGCATTTTTAATTTCAGCAAATTATGCCAAATTACTAATTCAATTTCTTTAAAACATTCAGGACTATTTAAGCTTTCTATTTCATCTTGTGTCAAGCTTAGAAAATTTGTGGTTTTTAAGAAATGTGTCCATTTCATCTCAGTTATTAAGTGGTGTTTTTGTTTGTTTGTTTGTTTGTTTGTTTGCTTGTTTTGTTTTTTTGTTTTTGTTTTTTTGGTGCCCAGGATTGAACTCAGGGGCGCTCAACCACTGATCCACATCCCTAGCCCTATTTCATATTTTATTTAGAGACAGGGTCTCAATGAGTTGCTTAGTGCCTCACCAAGGGTGAGGCTGGCTTTGAACTTGCCATCCTCCCATCTCAGCCTCCCATGCCTCTGTGATTACAGGTGTGCGCCACAGCACCCAGCTTCAGTTGTTAAGTTTTACATAATATCCTCTTCTTATTCATTAATGGATAAGCTTTGCCACAGTGTCTCTTTTCTTTGGCATTTGTATATTCTCTTTTTTAAAATCTTGATAAAATTTACCTCAGTGTTTACCAATTTTTCTAATTTTTTTCGAAGAACTGACATTTGGGTTCATTATTTTTTCTCTATTGTTTTCTATTTCATTGATTATTGATCTTATCTTTACTATTTCCATCCTTCAGAATAAATTAATTTTTTTTCTAGTGTTTTAAGTTGAAGGTTTAAATGATTCACTTTTAATCTTTCTTTTTAAATAGAAACACTACTTCAAATGCATTCTTCAAATTTTAAAATGTAAAAGTCAGGGGACATTTTGGAACATTCTTGGGTGTATGATATAAGTAGAAGAATATTGCAAGTTATAGACCAGAAGTATAAGTAAGATGGTTATGGAGAACCTTAAGTGCTATAGAAATTTGTACTTTTTTTTTTCTGACACTGAAGAAACATTGAAGGTATAAGTACTAATGTGAAAAACAGTTCTGTAGAAAAATGTATTCACAACCTCAGGTAACACAGAATTCTACATACAGACAGATACACATACACCAAAAAAAGATTTTGTGTGTGTGTGTTTATATGCATGTATGTATTATGTATGTGCTGCGGATAGACCCCAGGGCTTTGTGCATACTAAACATATACTCTACCAATGAGCTGCACACCAGACATCCCAAAGCAGAGATTTTAGAGAAGAAGATACACGAATTAATATTATCAAAATTTCTACCAAGAAAAATCATCACAAATAGGCTGGGGTTGTGGCTCGGTGGTAATGTGCTTACTTGGCACATGTGAGGCACTGGGTTCGATCCTCAGTACCACATAAAAATAAATAAAAATAAAACAAAGATATTGTGTCCATCTACAACTAAGAAAAAATTTTTTAAAAAAAGAAAAATCATCACAAAGAGATTAGAAAATAAAGAATAGCTGAGATAACATGTATCAAATAAGGCTGGCTGTGGCAAAGCAAACCTACAATCCCAGCTATTTGGGAGACTGAGGCAGGAGGATCACAAGTTTGAGAACAGCCTCAGCAACTTAGCAAGACCCTGCCTCAAGATAAAAAATAAAATGGGCTAGGCATGTATTTCAACATCACTGGGCTCAATCCCCAGTACCAAAACAAAAACAGACAAAAAAGTAACATACATATAACCAATGAAAAGCTTTTAAAACCTATTCAAAATAGGTTCTTGAAAATATTTTCCTTCTGAGTATGGTGGCACATGTCTATAATCCCAGCTATTTGGTAGGCAGAGGCAGGAGGATCACACATAAAAAGGTCTGGGGATGTAGCTGAGTGGTAGCATCTGAAGTGAACTTTGCATGTGGGATACCCAGGTTCAATCCCCAGCACCACACACACACACACACACACACTTATAATTTTCTTATAAATAAATAAGAAAATGACAAACTAATAGAAAAATGGGCCAAAGGTATGAACAGAATGTTCCCAGAAGGAGAAATCTAAGAGGTCAATGTGGGTGTGTATGAAGCTGCTCGTCTTTATTAGGTAATCAGGGATACACACATTTAAATAACGGTGATACAACATTTCTTATCTATTAGTTGGGGAAAATTAATCTGTTAATGAATTGTGTGAAACACAATTCATTTTGTTTTTCCTACACGGAAAGGCAAACTTTCCAACACCATTTGTTGATGTCCACCTTTCCTTCCTGATTTGTAATAGTCCCTTGCAATAGACTGAATGTTTATGTGCTCCTAAAATTTATATTGAGACTTAACCCCCAATGTGATGGCAGTGGAGATGGAGCCTGGGGGAGGGGACCGGGGGGAGGGAGCCCTGGTGAGGGGATGGACTAGTGCCCTCTTTTTATAAAAGAGTCCTCAGAGGGCTGTCTCACCCCTTCTTCTGTGATGACATGGATGCAGAAGCTGATGGCCACCTATGAACCAGGAAGCCCACCCTCACCAGACACCAAATCCATCAGCACCGCGGACTCCTCACCATCCAGAATGGGGAGAAATGAAGTTCTGCTGTTCAGAGGCCGTCCTGTCTGCAGCCTTCTTTAACAACAGCTAGAGAAGTCTAAGAACCCCTTGATCATAAAGTTCCCACATATTCAAAGGTGGACGGCTAGACTTCTGATTCTGTTCTACTGAGCTATCTATTTTTGCCTCCATAACTTAGTTTGAATTACTACAGCTTTATGAAAATTCTTGAAGTAAGTAGTTTCTATTTTTGTTCTTTTTTATAATCATCTTTGTTATTTTGGGATTTTCACTTTTCCATATAAATTTTAGAATCAGGACATCTATCATCTTATGTTAAAACTTAAAAAAAAAAAAAAAAACTCACGGGTTACACTTTTTCTTCTTTTCTTCTCCATAAGCAAGGTTCTTACAGGTTTTGATGCATATTTCTAAAGAATGGGTTTTGAAGCAATAACGAATGGCAAATTCTATTTCTCCAGTGACATTAGCGTTGTCAAAATTACCCATCTCTGTGCAAGTGCTGTTAATGCTAATTAAACTTCCCTGAAATAAAAAATGACAGAGGTAATAAATTACTTCACAGTTAAAAGGTTTTTTGGCAGTCCTGATTTCAAGGTATCAAATCAATCTCAATTCATACAGAGCATGTATCCTGACTCATATTAAGTTACCTTGTACCAGTTTGTACTTTGCCAAAATAAGCAGCCACCTGTTCGATCCCGAGGAGATGGGGAATCCTCAGAAGGCCCTCTCCTTCCAGATATGGTCTTTGCCTAGCAATAAAGGTTACACAATCCCGCTCTTTAACACAAGTCACTTAGGACAAGATGGACTATATCTGTGCAGTTCTGCCAAGACGAGGTCCTGCCTTCAAGGTAGCCACGTATAAAGAACGCGGCCCAGCATGGGCAGGGCCTGAGACTGGGAGTCCGACAGACCTGATTCAGATGCTGGCTCTGCTACTCATTAGCAGTGTCCAAGTCTAACTAGGAAAGAGACTGGTGTCTTAGGGTTTTGGTGAGGACTGACAGGAATGAGGTACAGGAAGTGTGCAGACAGAGGAAATGATAAATTGTTTTAATGTTAATGGGCACCTAAAATTAAAAAAGAAACACTGTCATCATAAATTAGGGGGTTCTAAGCTTACATGGTGGCTATAAGTAGCAGAGGAAGCCTGTGCCTAAAGGATAAAACAAATCACCTTTCAATAATTAGATTTGCTTAGACAACTGCCACCATTTGCATGCAACTGATCTCAGTGCTGTCTTTATAGGAGTAGAGAAGAAGTGTGATTTCTGCTGGCAGTGGGTTCACTGATTATTCATATTAAAAAACAGCTACAATCTCTACCATTTACAAAAGAATTAACAAGCTGGAGCACAGACCTAAACATAAAAGCTCAACTTTTTTTAAAAAATATATTTTTTAAAATATATTTTTAGTTGTTGATGGACACTACATCTTTATTTAATTTATTTATTTTTATGTGGTGCTGAGGATCATACCCAGGGCTTCACACATGCAAGGCGAGCCCTCTACCACTGAGCCACAACCCCAGCCCACTAAAAGCTCAACTTTTATTAAGTTCCTAGTTGAAAGCAGGAGACCATCTTGTTGGCTTGTAGAAAGACAAGACACAGAAGGGACTACACTAGAACAATTTGATAAATTAGACTTCGTTGAACTTAAAACCTTTTCCTTGGGCTGGGATTGTGGCTCAGCGGTAAAGCGTTTGCCTAGCACATGCGGGACCTGGGTTCGATCCTCAGCACCACATAAAAATAAAGGCATTGTGTTGTGTCCATCTACACCTAAAAAAAAAAAATTAAAAATTTAAAAAAAAAAGATTTCAACCTGTCTTAAAAAAAACAAAAACAAACAAAAAACCCTTTTCCTTGAAAGAAACGCTCATTTTATTCAATACTCTTTGAATGAAAATTTTCATGATAAGATGTAAAAAAGGGAAACCATCCTCAAAACGTAGCAAGGCTCAATATGACCTCCAGGCTCTTCTGTGCTCCAAGTCACCTCGCCCCTGCCCTTGTCCACCAGTCCAGTTTGATGTTTTTTATTCTATTGGTTCTGGTTTTGGTGCTAAGCACATACTGACGTCAGGAGGAAGAGATGAGGCTGGGAAGATAGGGAGACGGGCCCCTGGTCACTTCCTGGGCAGCAGAGCACAATCAGCACCTGCAGATATTTGCTAAGAAACTTACAAAAAAGGCTGTTCTTAAATCAGGGCCTACGTGACTAGGGTCCATGCCACTCCAAAGAAGGAAAAATGCCTGATTGATGTTTCGATTGGACTAAAAGCTGAATGAATACCTAATGGACACTGAATGCCTTCCCCAGGATTGGGCAGGAAGCTAGCTGACTTAACCCTACAGATCTATATAAATGCCTAGACAATAGCCACTCTTCGGCATCCTTCTCTTGGGACCCCTCTCTTTTTGGGAACACTGCTTTCTTTCTATTACTCTAATAAATCCTGTTACTTTGCTCAAACCCTTGTATCCATGGATCTTATTCTTCAAATTCATGAAACAACTTGACCCCACCCTCAGTGCTACACTACCATTCAGCTATATCCCCAGCCCCCAAGTGGTGTCCTAGTGACCAGGCACTCTGTGTTAAGAGTGTTGGGACAAGACTCACGTGTCTCAAGCCTCCCGAGAACAAAGGGCTGGGGGAGGGGCCCAGTGGGAGAGCATCTTGCTTCAAACCAAGGCTGGCAGAGCGTCTGGGATCCTCTTGAGGAAGAGGCTTCGAAATATCTGGTGTGCTGACCTTCTGGAGAAGGAAATTCAAAATTAATACGATGGCCCACATGCCCATTTGAATCTATTCAAATACAGAGACTTCAGCAAGCATAGCCCACACCTATCACTTGGTGGGAGTCATATAAACTTGGAGTGACTGAGTAAGGGAGACACTTGTGTTTGGATAAATGTATCCCACCCCCAACCCTGAGGAAGACATTGTCAAGCTCTGGGATAGTCATGAACATGGATGGGTGAGCTGCTTATGAATTAGTAAAAGTCTTAAAAGAAGTGCACGCTTTGGCCTTCATAATGATCCTGGCATTTAATCACATGAAATATAACATTCAGTCTGATACACAGTAAGATTTAAATGCTCATAAAAAGAGAAAAATCAAGCCAGGTATGGTGATACTTGGCTTTAATCCCAGCTATTCATGAGGCTGAGGCAGGAGAATAGCAAGTTCAAGAGCAGGCTGGGAAACTTAGTGGGACCTTGTCTCAGAAGTAAAAAGGGCCAGGGATATAGTTCAGTAATAAAGTATTTATCCAGCACATGCAAGGCCCTGGGACCAATCCTAGTACAAAAAAAAAAAAAAGTGGGAGAGATCAAAATATACCTCTAAATTTTATAAAGATACTTTTTTAATTATTAACACTGTTTACAGCTGAGCTTCCCAACACGATAGCCATTGGCCACATAGGACAACTTGAATTTAAATTCAAGTTAATTAAATTAATAAGCTCAGCTGCTCAATTGCACTGGACACATTTCAAGTGCTCAGACACCACGTGTGACAGTGGCTACAATATTGGACAGTTCACACTGTCAGGTAAAGAACATTCCACTGCTGCAGGAAGTCCTGTCAGACATCACCAGCAGAGTAATACACATAATATGTAAATTAGAAAAATTGCTTCCAGACCAACAGTCCAAAGTTTCTGAATTGAGGCTTCCGTCTTGGTGCTAGGTCGGAAGGAGAATTCGAATACCAGCTGCACCAGAGTCCTAAATGTCATGAATGAAATGCTAAGTGAGAACACCAGAGAACTAACAGAAGAATGGATCGTCTCCAAATCACTGTCTGTGCTCTTCATCTCCACAACACCAACTCAAGACCAAGAGACAGTCACACAACACTCCATTGAATCCACGGCTCTAAACCCTGGGGTTGGAAGAGGATCCAAAGCTGGCATCAGGTCTCACCCACTGCAGGGAAGATAGAGCCACCAGCCACTTGGTGGCAAAGAGGTGAGGGGAGTTTACTGGGTGTGGGGCATCTGGGTGACCTTCAGTGGTAGACCTGAGTGGGGTGCTGACAGGTGGCTGGGGAAGACCAAAATCTAAGGCAATTGGGGCGCAATTCCTAGGCTACAGAGACTCCAGGGCCAGGCCGACCAGACCCAGGGACCATGAGCACACAGGGATGTGAGCTTGTCCAGGGGGCTCCAAAGGGTGGGCAGAGAAGGCCACCAAAAGCCCCGTTTCCAAGAGTCCTGGAAGATGGGCAACTGCCACCAGTGGTCAGGTGAACCAAGTCCCTCAGAGGCAGCCAACTTGGCAGAACTAAAAGTCCTAAAAACTAGCTGTCAAAGGTACCTATGTGTTGATATGGAAAGAACAAGTTAGACTCTTCCTTAAAAGCAAATGACAAACATGGACCTGGGATGGGTGCCCTTTCTGTTAAATGGAGTCTGTGGAGTGCAGAGGCATTTTATTTTATAAGGCAGAGAGGATTGGGATGTGTGTGGGTGGTGAGAGGCCCATAGGGGCTCTGGAGGGAAGAGACCCCACCCAGGCTCAGGAACAGGGGAAAAGGCAGCCAGTAGCCAGACAAGTGCCCAGGGAAAGAGGCTCTCTCCTGCTTCCACTTCCAAGGGCCTGGAGCCCTGGAGGGTTCATGACATGTGCTAGGACAGACTTCATAGAAATGATAGGTGAGTGTCTGAGAAGAGACAGTGGAGAACTCCCTCCTGGCCCCTCCCAACCTGTGGGACACAGCAAGAGGGCTGGAACCTTCCCATATCTTGGTCCCAGACTTTGAGCTCCCAGAATTGAGAGAAAATAAATGTCAGTTGTTTAAACCACCCGATCTCTGGTAATTATGTTTTGGAAGCTGGGCTGACTAATAGAGTGTTCAACATACATTTTAAAAATCATGTTTTTTGAATCATAAAAAATTAATGGCAGAAAGTTTTAGAAAGGAACAAAGAGAACTATCTTTACAATAGAGGTTACATGGCACATTGGATTCATGGCCAGGGAAGACTATATTTCTAATTGGTCAGGACACAGGAAAACCTTCAATGGAGTTAAAGCACAAATGTAAGTATTTCAAGATTATTAGGAAAGCAGATACTATTCTTAAGGTTTATTTTTAATTCACTATGGAACCCAAGATGAAGTTCTGTGTTCAGCTTTTCCCCCAGTAAATTCTGAAGGATCTGGACAAGACTGTCAGATCCAATGTCCTAAGAAAGGGCTTCAAGATCCTAGGAGTTTATCAATGGCATTGAGATGGGCATTGTCCCCCTGCCCACAACTGTGATTTTTTTCCTTTTTTCTTTTTATTTATTTATTTCTGTGATTTTTTAATGTACTTCATAATTATCTAGTTTTAGTTAGACCCAGAGAAAAATGCTGGCCCTGAATGAGGTCTAGTCTGCAAAGCGTTTGACATTCTATGGGAAAGATCAGTAAGTAGTAAGTTTCGTTCGATCAAATTATGAATCCTCTGGAAGAGTTTTGCTGTTAATAGCTAAGAACACAGAAAATAGTAGAAGGAAGAGCAACTGCTGGTGCCTCTGCGACTTCCTCTGGGGACTACCTAAACTTGAAAGCCCACTTGAGTGAAGAAACCACTCAGTTTGGTTCGACCAGTCACATGCTCTGAGCAGGGGCATCCCTCTGAAGGGGGACCACCTCTCCTGGGGCACAGGAGGGTCACTGCCATCCAGCCTGGTGTTAGCAGTGAGAAATGACGCTGCTACTCGCCCGGCCTTCTCCGCCCACTCCGCCTCTGGGATGCGGCTGCAGGTGGCAGGGAAGACGTGCAGGGACTTAGACATCACACAGTACAAGGAGAGTGAGATGAAGCAAAGTCCTTTTCCTCCACCTTTGTCCTCAGGCCCTCTCCCCAGAGACAGCCCCTCCTACCAGCTTTTTATAATGCTCCCTGTTTAACAGGTACATGTTTTTATGGGCAGTATAGATCAACCACACGTTCATAAGGTACAATAAAACCCACGGGAATGCACACAAGGAGAGGTGGAGAGAACTCACTTTGGAAGAATCCTGGCCCAGATGCTCCAGGGAGGGTCTCGGAGCACTTTCAAGAATATGCTCTTCAAACTTAATGACCAGAAACTTGGAAGAGATCCTGAGCCACTTGTTCAGTTAACAGCCCTGAGTCACCCCGGGGGGTCTAAGAAAGCTACTTAAACCAAGTGCAGCAGTGCACACCCTCCTAATCCCAGCATTTGGGAGGCTGAGGCAGGAGGATGGCTTGAGCCCAGGAGTTCAAGACCAGCCTGGGAAACACAGCAAAACATTTCAAATGAGAAAAAGAGAGAAGAAGAAGGTCATCTATTAGCTCTGTGCCGTAGCCACCTGCAAAGTGGGCACCAACGTCCGACACTTCCAAAGGGCACTATGTCATATGATTAATGTTGGCAAGATGTTCCAAAGTGTTCTCATGGAAACAAGTACCATTACTGTGGGCTCCCCAGCTGAGGCATGTGTGATTGCAGTCTGGAAAATGTCCTATTAAAGGGTGTACTCCTTATATTTCAACCCAATCATTATTTAGCATTTATAGATTATGTTTGCTGACTTTTGGTTGAGTATAAACATTTGGCTAAAGTGCTCCGTGAAACAGCCCTATCCTCAATGACACTGGCAGAGAGAAGTCCTGTCAAGAGTGCAAGCATGCCCTGCCCAGAGCCTGGCAACAGAGGGCACACACGTGTAAGGGTCCATGCAGGTGGGGGCTCTACCCACAGCCTCCCCCTGCACCTCCTCACTTCTATCCCTGAAGTCTCCTAGCCTACTTGAAAACCTCCATAACTGCTTGGCAGGTCTATTCTGTGGGCACAAGCTGCAGGGGAACAGTGCACCAAGGATGCCACATTCTGACAGCATTCCCAAAGCCCAAAGCAAAGTCCATGGGAGCTTGGTGTGCCCCACACAGCACAGCACACCGCAGACGGGAAAGGTACTGAGTCTCCACAGCAGGGTACCATGGGGAAGGTCCTGGGGCAGGTTCTATCTGACCCCAACCCTCCTGACCCCATGACCCCCTTCTGCCCACATGACCCCAAGGGTCCTCATCCCCAATGGGGACAGCAATAATGCAACCCTCATGGGGTTGTTTTAAGGATCACAAAGATTAAATACCAATAAGGGCTCTCTGCAGAGAACCGTGCCCAGAGCACTGCTGACCCTGTCAGTGTTGGCATCAGAGTGGCTTCATCAGACCCAGTAAGAGAATTGTTCACACTTCCAAATCCCTCTGGAACCCTTTTTTCTCAGTGGCCCTCGCTTGTCCTTACATGGGGCATAGATAGAACAAAGAGGCTGAATTTTTCTGACTTAAAAATCATACAAACCCAGGTTCTATTTCTGGCTTTTTTTTTTTAAGCTATGAGCTGCTAGTGAAGTTGGTTAACCTCTCACTGACACTCAGGTCCTTGTTATCATGGGAGTTTTTGTGAGACACAAGGTGATGATGTGGTTCATGGTGAGCACTAACTCCCTGCCTCTGGTCTCTTCAGGAAGAGCACGGATTCTGGTGTGAACTCATGCTTATGCACACCTGAGAATTTCAAAGACTTTCAGGGTTTCAAATACTCCTGGCGCCTTGCTCCTACAGGGTGGGGAATTGAGAGTCAGTGCCCAGAGCTCAGCCTTCAAACCCAAGTGGGGTCAGTTCAAACACAGCTCTCCCTGGTTCACCTATGTCGCTGTGGCCTGTGACGTAACCCCACCAAGGCTTCATGCTCCTAGATGTAAAGAGGGGCTGCCTGCAATACCTACCTCCTAGGGTGGGTATGTCACTAAAATGAGATGACTCAGGCAGAGCATGGCACATCATAATTAACGCCAGCAATCTGAAGAAGGTGTTTGGAGGACTTTGCTGGCAAATGAGATAGTACAGCACTCAAGGGAGACCTGCGAGAACCCTGTGCTGGGGAACAACAGGTGACTTCATTTTACAGAGGGAGTCCTGGGCTCAGGTGCGAGGCAGGAGATGGAGGCAGAACCTAGCACCTTGAGAACAGGTGCTGAGGTTCTAGCAGGACAGTGGGCTAACGGGAGGACAGTATCTGGGGATGTCTCCAGGGGATCCCACGGCCACAGAGAAGGGACATGTGTCCCATGCAGCTGAGCAGAGCAGCCATAATAACGCTGCACACAACATGGCTGGCACCTGCCCAGTCAGGTCACCTCAGCTGGACTAGAACCCAGGCATTCTGATCCCAGAGCCAGCTTGCTCTCGTGCCTGGTCTACCCGCTGCGGGCCAGGTAGGTGAGCTCGCCCTTGGTTCAGACACCGGGAAGGAGCCCCCTGCTTGAACATGATTATGCAGTATTTGTGTTTTCCATAGTTTCCATCAGAGACCAGGACAGATTATAACTAAAGGCTGTTAATCCTGAACATAAGTGAGGGGTTTCACAGACCCTGGGAACAACGGCAATCACAGGCCCTGCAGGTGCTGTGGCCTTGAAGCCCGTGGGCAGAAGCCTTGGGGACTCATGGCCACACTAAAGCTTGTAGCTGCTCTGAACAGTTGTGCAGGTCGAATCCTTTTCTTTTTGAGGCTCCTGGGCTCAAGGATCCTCCTGTCTTAGCCTCCCAAGTAGCTGAGACAACAGGCACAAGTCACCACACCTGTTTTGATCTTAAATTCTGACTCTCTTTGGCCAAATGCAGGAGCTTCCAATCACATTTTTCTGACTGTGAATTGTTTTGCTATCAAAGGAAAAATAAATCTACAGAGAAAAAGGCTGGAAAGCGCTGGAAAGAGAACACAAAGGGGGCGGTGCAGGGCGGGGGCCTCGGGTACCCTGGTGGTGACGTTGACCGCAGTGTCTGACTGGCTCCGTCTCTGCGTCTGGCCTGCACACTGCCTGGGGCTGGTGGCTAGAAGATGCTTCTCAGAAGTCATGTCATTCTGGGACTTGGAGAGCTCTAGAACACAAACACAAGGGACGACAGCTGGGAGCGCACGGCTTTGCGGAGTCCCATGGAGCCCTCCCCTGGGATTCCTGAGACCCGCAGACCCGGGGGCCCAGGTGGGCCAGAAGGGGCTGGGGGGGACCAGGGAGGGACCAGGGAGGGGCAAGGGAGGCCTGTTCACCATGGAGCATGTGGGCACCCAGAGGAAGCCAGAAACTGTGCTGGACCCAGGGCCGGAGGAGGGCTGGGGTCCTCTAAGGGGCCTCCTGTGGTCATGCTCTACACACCCGACAGGTGGAGCCTGTGAGAGTTGAAGGGACCCCCAACTTCCCCAGTATTCCCCATCACTCATATGAGTACACACTTGTCCAGACCCAAAGATGGCAGCCACCAAACAAGCTGGCTTCCTAGGGGTTCCTGACAGAGCTTCCGTGACTCAACACCGCATCTTAGGGCTCTTAGAAGGGAAGGGAAAGTAAGATTTGAGGTGTCCTTACAAGTATCTCAGTAAGAAAGCAGGCCCTGAGAAGAGGACTCAAACGTTTGTCTTTACAGCATAACACTGGTCTAAAACAAGAGTAAAAGAAGGAACCGTGCACAGAAGGGAAAGATCCGCCTCATAGATGCTCCCCCCTCCTCAGGGGCTCCCTTTCCCAGGAGGCCTCCCTCTCTGGGCCCTGGAGCTACCTTCCTACAGCACTGCTGTCTGCTGAGAGACACAGTGCAAGTCACTTATGAGTCTAAGTTTTTGCAAGCCACATTAGGTAAAAAGAAACAGGCAATATTAATTTTAATTCTGCATTTCGTTTAATGCTATGTCCAAAATGCTATTAGAACATGTAACCGATATTAAAGTTATTCAGGAAATAGTTAACTCTCTTTAACTCCAAGTCTCTGAAGTCTGGTGTGTGTCTGACTCTGGCAGCACATCCTGTGACTACATTTCAGGGCCTCGGGAGCGGCATGTGGCTTGGGCTACAGTAAGGGACAGCACAGCCTCAGGCCAGCCCTCTGTCTTCTGGTCCACCCACTGAGCCATTACTGCCTCTGCATTGGCTACCTATGAGCTGACTCCTGCCTGCACGGCCATGGGGAGCTTTAGAGGCCCCTAGAGGGAGGTCCCTGGCAAACGCCCCCAACCCCAGGCCACCCACCCTTGTCCACCTCGCCATGGTCCTGTCCCAAGAGCCCTGTCTCCCTGCTACCTCAGGTCTAGCACTAGCAGTGTCTGGGACGTCTCTCAATGTCCAGCAGCTAGGAAGGACTAGCATTCTCTGGTCCTCCAGCTCAAGTCACCTCCATGAGCTCCCCGTGTGGCCAACCCCAGGCTGGCTGAGCACGTGAGAGACCCCAGTTTCCAACCCCCAGGAGATGCCATCCCTCCTGGCTGCTCCCCCCATCATCTGTTCAGGGCTCACCCCACAGCCTGAGCCTACTTGGTCCACTGCAAGCCACAGAATGAGGAGGAATCTCCTTGAGCAGCTTGGGTTCTGACAGAAGGCCTGGTTACCCGTGGGCATGGCTAGAGGACACCAAGAGCCCTGAGCAAGAAGCCATTCCTCTTTCCCTTCCAAGGCGACAATCTGCCGCCACCTCCTAGAGATGAGCTGATAACAGAAGGGCTGTTGGAGCAGTAATAGCAGCCAGAGGTCATGTGAGTCAGCCTTCCCAAGCCCCACGGCGCAAGGCCTCCTCCTCCATGCTAGGTCTTTGGTCCCTGAAGGGCCTGGGCCCTTTCCAGCCCCTCCCATGACCACTAGGTACCAGTCTGACATCCTGCCCACAAGGGGGGGTTTTCTCTGCACCCACTTTTGTAGGGAAAAGGGTTGCAGCACAGATCAAGAGGACATGTGGAGAATCACTTAAAACCTGAAAAAACATGAATCAGTGCCTACAAGATGTTGCGTGCCCTGCGGCAGACACAGGGAAAGGGGCTGGTGGAGTCTTGTGCCTGTTCCTGCAGACCAAGAGGAAGCGCTCAGGAGAGTTCTCAGGTTCTTGGCCCTTCCCAGGAGCCAGGAAGCAGGGCTTGAACTACCCCTCCCTCTGGGATGAGGGCAGCAGGGACATAGGTCACAGAGCTTCAGCTGAGTCCCCTATCTCAGAGGGACACTGCTTTGCTCTCATGAATCCCTGCCCTCACCCCACCCAGGGATTAGCTCTAGTTGTCCACCCAGGTGTCTAACTGGCAAACCTCGGATGAGTGAGCAGAGGAATGTGAGACTGTGGGCTGGTCCCTCAGGAGACTGTGCACCCAGGGCCCTTTTGAAGGAAGCTTAGGGTTGGGGTCCATTCTGGGCATCGATTCCAGTAGCTGGGGAGGGGGGATTCACACAAGCCCCGTGGATCTGGGGAGGAGCGGCACAGCTAAGATGTGGAGCAGGTCCCACTAGAACCTGCCGTGGAAGGGAGCCAGCTGGGCGAGCATGGGCAGCTCCACCGCCAGGCCGAGGGGCACAGGGGGTCTGGTGGGGTGTGTGTTCTCTAGGAAAGCCCTGCAGGGTGAGATGGGTGATTTTTAAACCCCCAGGCACTGTTGCCAACAGGCCAATGAAATTCAGTTGCTTCTCCCTTCTGAAAAAGAAGGCGACAGACCCTTGCTTGTGTAGTCACAGTTGTTCTTAACTGAAGAGCGGGGGTTGGATTTCAGTGGTCACCAGGGGACAGCTTAGACAGGGCTCATGTGGACTACAGATGACTACTTAAAATCAAATCATCAGACGGTCTTGGAGCCTACAGGGGACAATGAGACCATCCACACGAGACCTCAGGGAAGGAGGTGATGAACCGAAGCTAGTCAGACACGGACAAAGGGAAATGATGCCCCAGGAGCCCTGATCCCACCCTGTCTGAACCCGGGCCTGCCCTGTATGTCTTAGGAGGCATGAAAGGGTCCGAGACCTGAATTTTAAGATAAGCAGAAAAAAAAAAAAAACCAATGGAGGGGAGAAGGCCACTGAGGGAGACAGGGTTCCAGCTGAGGTGGTCACCTGCCTTTGCAAACTACAAGGTAACTGCCAGCGGAAGACCAGACATTGATAAGGAGAAAAAGAAGAGACAAGTAATTCCACACAAGAGACAGATCCTGGACCCCATCGCCTTGAAGGGTTCTGGTTTGGGATTCATTGGAATCCTCATGTTTTCTTTGTTGGTCTCCCGGGGTCTCCTGGGAAGCCCACACACGTCGACCTCCCTTGTCCATGGCACCGAACTAGGCAGGTTCGGGCCTGGAAAGGAGGAAACTGGGCCAATGAGTGGACTGACATGGCCTCTCCTCCCGCGAGGAACCAGAGGCCTGCTCTGTGGGTGGCGAGATGAAGGGCCCAGTGCTGTGGCTTTCCCGAGGGTCCAGGGACAGTCCCATCTGAGGTGGCCTGCCTGTCTGGCGTGGGAAGGACACACCCTGAGGCATTGACTTACTTTTCACGTGGGTGGTAACAGACAGAAACAAATTCTCCACGGACTTATTAAATCCTCTAAACTGACCAAGTTCCTGTAACTAAAACAGACACAGAATGAGTTAATGCTTGATGGTCTGCTTTGCCCTGCGTCTCTAGACTGTCGGGCCCCAAAACGCTGCAGATGGGTGCGGGTGCTCATTGGGCATGCAGGTGGGGGTGGGGGTGGAGTGACCCTCCCAGGACTAGGCACCCTGCTACTCAGCGTCTCCACTCTATATTTTGATATCCTCATAAAGGAAGAAGCATTATCGACGTGTGGTTCATAAGATAACAACTACCTCTCAGACATGATGAAGGATAGTTCCTTGGCTCAAAGATTGTATCCAAGTAAATTACTGTTTGTCTAACCTCCTTTTTCTTATGGCCCCACCCTAACTCCATGCACAAAGGGTACCAACGTTGGCAAAATGCAGGTGACATGGGGGCTGAGGGTGGTAAAAGGCACAAAGTGACCAGCCTGGAGTCAAGGAGTTCCACCTCCCAAAGCAGAAGCAGGGAGAAAAATACAACATTTCCTTCTCCAAGTCTCATCTGTCTATCCACCCACTGTCCATCCAGCCATGCATCCACCATCCATCCGTGCATCCATCATCTGTCCATCATACATCCAACTGGTAAATATGTGTCTAACATACAAGTGCTAGAAATGCTTTGGAGAATTTAAAATCTCCAGGGAAAGAACAGCAGGATTTTGAAGGTCACCCCAGAGTCTCAGCTTAAAATTGGAAAAGAATGAACATATTGTCTCCATTGGCAGACAAGGATGTTCTCCAACATGCACAGATATAATTGCTCCCCTTAATTTATAGGATAAAGGAGATAAACCCACATTTCCATGGCACTTTTACAGTTTGCAAGACATTTTTTCATTGATTTCTCACAATAGCCATGGGAGACCATCCAGACAGAATTATTTCCACTTCTCAGGTGCGAAACCTGGACAACTCCCTCCCCCAAGATCACAGCTAATTCCTTGGGATGGAAATGATGCTGCTCTACTTTACATTAGAACCTGCAAACACTCAAAAGCCACCTCCACAGCCCCTGCCAGCTCTCACACACTGTACGTCCATCTGTATCTCCCTGGGGCTCCCCTGCGACCCTACACACAAGTCAGCTTATCCAGAACCTCACACACTCACTCAAAGGCACAGTGCATAGCTGGGGGTGAGAGCTGATCGCAAGAGCAAAAAGATGAGGGTGCAGGTACAGGCAGCGGTGTGGCGCACCGGGCAGATGGCCCATGGCCACCAACCCATGAGGGCGGGAGCACTTCCATGCCTCCACGGGGATCTTTGCCCTCTGCCTGGCTCTGGGACCCACCCAGCCAAAGCAGGACCCCTCTGCTCCCAGGCCATTGGCCCCTCTCCAGCCTCCTTGCATCCCCCCCTCCGGCTGCCCTCCAGGACACTCACAGGCACACGTACCCTGCCAGGGCTGCCGCTGCACTGGTTTTCACTGAGAGGAGGAGGAGTAGGAGGCACCACAGAAATTCTGCTGCTAAGGAAAAATACAGGAATAAGAAATGGGTCATAAACTACATGAGCTACTCCTTTTACAAACGCACAGATGTGCCTCGATTCTATGATTCACGTTCTCAGCTTTTTAAAGTAGAAACTAAGTTTTCAAGGAGAAGACCCAGCAGCTCTGCTCAGACCTCTGTGAGGAGCACCTTTGCCTGGTACCTGGACACGGGAAGAAGGTCGTGCCCATGTGTTCTGAAACCACAGGGGCCTGGCTCACCCCCGAGGGCCCCAGGCTTCACGTGCAGGGTCTTGTTTGGACTCCCAAATTCTCTCAATGCAAACCACACCAGCACAAGGGCCCAAATTGTTGAGAATATAAAAACAACCAGGAGAGGATCTGGAAGCACAGGCTAAAAGAAGTGAGAACAAATGGGAGAGGAAGGAAAGAAGAAGTTCTGAGACCGGAAAAATCTCTTCATGGGTCCAAAAAGCAGTGGCTGGTGGGAGCGCTCACTCACGTGTTAATAAACTCAGTCTCAGGTGTCCAGACCACCGCCAGCTTCCAGGTGCTAGGGGTGGGAACTTTGTACAAAGAAGTTAACATCTCTAGGACCATTATTCAGTGCCACCAGTTCCTTCCACCCATCTAAGATGCCAGGCACTGGGTGCCAGGTGAGAGACGTGGATGAGCAATAGCAGCAAATGCTTGGCTCAGTATGTCCTGCGATGTGCAATCAGAAATGATAGTTTGTTTCCTCATAACATTTCAGGAGAATTTGAGAAACAAAACAGGACGTTAAATGAGAAAACACGTTGAAACCAGAAGGCTTCTCATGAGAATCCGGAAGCATCTTTGAATCTTTTCCAGGTACTTTATCATTAAAAAATAAAAAAGCTACATTCCAAAGCAGTGACCTCTAAAAGTCAGGAGATCTGAAAGTTCTTTCAGGGCGTCCTCTGCCTGCCTGCCCTGAGGGCGGGACGATCTGTCCTTCACAACACTCACCTCAGCCTCTGATAAGATTGCAGGAGCTTGGCCCCAGCTGTCTCCCGTTTGCCTGGAGGAGAGATCAGCAAAGGTCATTCAGAAATGAGAATATAACTTAGGTAATACAAATACAGGAATCAATCAATTAAAATTATTTTCCTTTAACACCATTTCTTGTGCCTAATAAAAGAGGGGGGGCGGTGATAGAAATGTTAAAAAATCAGATTGTGAGGAGGGCTGTACAGCTCTCAATTTATTGAACATCATTGGTTTGCACACTTAAAACAGGTGAATTTATGTTATAGGAATTCTCTCTTACTAAAGCTGTTGACCCAGTAAGAGGCCACAATGGCTGGGAATGACTGTTTTTATGAAAAGTTGATTTTGAATTAGATTTTCTAAATCTGGATAACTTAAAAAACAGTTCAAGCTTCCAATCTTCAATTTTTCCTTTAAAAACATGTCTTAATTGAATGGATACATTCCTTTAAATGTTCCTTGTGATGAAGATTAAATTAATCTCTTTAAAAATGTAATCTACTTATTTCTAATTATAGTGCTTAATAATTTCCTGAATTGTATTGTATCTGATATATTACCCTTTTTGTTTCAAGGAGAGAGGTTTCCATGATGTATTAAGACTCCAAAATGAAACTCTGCATGTCTATTTTCCTGTGACCACAGGTTCTTGGCCACCACACAGGAAGAGTCTGCCCAGGGTAGAAGGGCCCAAAGGCCTCCACTCTGCCCCTCATACAGCCCAACCCACCAGGCTGCACCCTGGGAGGTCAATCCAGCTCCTACTTCATCTGTTTGGAAAGTTTTAATTCTGAAGAAACATTTAGGTATTAGTATCACTTCCAGAGGATAAACCGACAGATGTGTTTAGTAAGAAAATCAGAATGGGCAGGGGAGCCTCTGGAGGGGTGGACAACAGCTGGTGTTAAGTCCTTGAAGAAGCCCCAAACCTTAAAGCAGGAACCCGCCCCAGGTCAGTCCTTAGCTGGGCTGGCCTCAGGGAGCGGGAACCCTTGAAGCCGCATCTCATTTTTCCAGTCTACCTACCTGTGTGTGTTTCCAGGGCTTCATAAAGGTGTTCACTGGATTCTAAAAGGAGTCCAAGGGCTGTCCCCACACCCCATTAGGAAACACTTCTCTCAGGCAAAAGAGCCCTGCCCCGAGACTGAGAGCTCCGTGAGTGGAACCGGCTCCCAACAGGTGAAATCCAGCATCTACAAGAGCCCCTGGAAGAAACCGTCTGGGCCAGAAGCAAAGAGCGCGCAAACTTGCACACAGCACAGGGAGCATGAAAGCAGAGAACGGAAGGGGAAGACAGCAGGAGCAAGGCTGCTCATCCTGCAGTCCTGGGGCAAACAGGTGCTGAGACCCAGGTTGATCATAGGGCATGATGCGTCCGCCGTAGTGCACTTATGTTACTCCAACTAACAGACAAGAAATGCCAAGCAGAATCCTAGCACCCGGGTGGGCTGCTCACCAGAGCCTACCCAGCACCTTGGGTCTCTTGCTGGGGTTGTTTCCCCAACATCCCCTGAGGCCCAGCCGCAAAAATCAGTCCCTGTCCACAAGCCTCAGGTTCTCTCTCTGTAACCCAAAGCCCTTCAGGGGCACTCTATTGCCTTAGCCTAAGGTTCAGGCCCCACACTGCGTCCCCACCCTGCCTGGGCGCTCTCGGGCCTGAGGCCTTGCAGTTAGAAATTGCTTCTTATTGCCCCACTCACCTGGGCGTTGCCTTCCTCTGGCTCCACGATTGCTGACACCCCATCCTTCTCCTCAGGCCCCATCTCAAGCCCTCCACAAGGAAAGCCCAGCTTTGTGCCCCATTTCACATTCCTTGGGTTCTCTCCTGGGATCCCTGCAGGTGGCCTTGCCCCAGTGTGGCCAGCACATGGCCCTCTGCTGCCCCCTGCTGGCTGTAGCAGCCTGGGGAACAAACTTGCTCTTAATTCCTTTCAGTACTAAGGACTGAATCCAGGGCCTCACGCATTCTAGACAAGCCCTCTACCACTGAGCTATACCCCCGCCCCTTTTACTTATTCATTTTTTAATGTTTCTTTCTACTTGTAGATGGACACAATACTTTTATTTATTCATTTTTATGTGGAGCTGAGGATTGAACTCTGTGCCTCACACATGCTAGGCAAGCGCTCTACCACTGAGCCATAACCCCAGCCCCTTTTATTTTGATACAGGGTCCCACTAAGTTGCCTAGGTTGGCCTTGAACTTGCAATCCTCCTTCCTTGGCCTCCCAAATGGCCGTGGGAATGGCCACAGCATCTCTGGTCACTTCTCCTCAACTCTGCCTGTGAAAGCAGCTATGGGCACATCTGTGTGCTGATCAAACTTTGCAGACACTGAAATTTCAATTTAACATTATTTTTATATGTCACAAATATTAGTCTTTGTTAACTATTTAAGATGTTAAAACAAATAAACAAAAATGTGCTTACCTCATGAGACATGAAAATAGGCAGGAGGACCAGCTGGTCCATAGGTTCTGGTTTGCCCAGGCCCTTGCCACCTGACACGGCATGGATCGGGGCAGCTAGGAGGCCACCCGAAGCCCCCGATCCAGCCTCTCCTGTGCAGATCCAAACCTAATGGGCATGAGAGCCCCAGTGTCTGCAGGCCCCACTGATGACAGAAATGCCCCCCAGTGGCTTTTGTCCGGCTTCCAGGTTCAGGTTATTTCCCTTGCTCTTCTTCTGTTGCCCTTTGCCATAGCTTCTAGCCAAAAGCTTCCTTCAAAAGCACCAAATCTTTTTTTGTTGCTTATTAACCTACTTTAAATTTATGCAGCCACTGTGAGGAAACTCACAGGGCAGCTCTCTGGGGAGGCAAGGTGTTGGGATCAAGGGTCCCTGCCATCCTTCCCAGCCACCTGGCTGGTCAAGTGGCCTTTGAGGGAACACAGACTTTGCCAAGGGCAGGGCCGGACCCAGGCTGCCAGGGCTGCTCAGGAATGTGCAGCTGACCTTGTGGATGCACAGCACTTGCTTACGGTGGCTACTTGGGTGGGAAGCAAAGTAAGGTGGGGAGACACGGAACTGAACACAGCTTGGATGACTGGGGCTATCTGGTATGTTCTTGGGAGTTACCACTTTACTTGGGTTCATATTTTTTCATAATAAAAAAATTAAAAGGAGAACAATCACACATAGGCCAATAACCAAGTCCCTGAGAACTGTACCACTTCCCAACTTTATCAATGCGTTCACATTTGTCATTATATCTTCCCTTGCTGGAACCTTCCGGAAGCAAGGCCCATGCTCTTGTGTTTGAGGCATCCCTCACCTTGGGCATCAGACTCCTGAGGGAGAGAGGGCAGGGTGGAAAGGGTGTACATAGGGCAGTGGCTGGGTGCAAGAAGGCCCCAAAGTAGGAGGCAGACTCCTCCCCAGCCCAGCCGTGTCCCTCCTCACCTACAGCCCCCCTTCATTTCCCATGTCCACCACACCCTCCGGGGCACACTGAGATCCTGCCCCTTCTTCACTAGGCACCTGCCTCTGTGGGTCCAAAGGCAACTTCCTTGCCCAGCACAGGAGGCTGGTAGGGGCTGAACTGTCCCCTGGAAAGACAGGTTGAAGTCCTCACCCCTGCTACCTGTGAACTGGACTTTAGGTGGAGATGGAGCCTTTGCAGATGAAGTCAAGATGGGCCACTAGAGAAGGACGCCACCCATGTGGCTGAGTCTCTGTTCCCTGCCCAGAAGGACCCACTAGCGGATCCACAGACACTGCCTCGTGAAAAACCCCAAAACCTAAGAGTAAGGCTGAGTTCCTGTGTGTTCCTGGAAAGCCTAACAGAAAGGACTTCCTTGACCACATCACTCTCCCCTTCCTGAGGGGCGCACCACCCCCGGCAGGGAAGCCCAGGGCCCACAGCTCCCTCCCCGGGCAAAGAGAGGCAGACACCCAGCTTCCCAGGCACTCTGAGTTAGGGACGGGGAAACTGAGCACCAGGTCTCCTGGGGCCACATAAAAACAAAGATGGGGTCATTAGAGCATGTCCTAAGTCCTAAGCTAGTATGACTATGTCCTTATCAAAAAGGGAAAGACTGGACACAGACATGGATGTGTCAGTGCACAGACGCTGTGAGGGTAGCCAAGTGACATGGGCAGCCTGGAGGACACTTCTATAAGCTACAGCAGTGCCCAGGATGGCTGGGAGCCTCCTGTGGTCAGAAGAGGCCGGAGGATGCAGGGGGCACCCACACCTCCACCTCAGGCTTCCTGTCTCCAGAACAGGGAAGACCATAAATCTCTGTTGTTTGAAGCAAGCAAAGTACCAAAGGTTGTAGTTCTTTGTGACAGCAGTGCTAGGAAGCTAGTCCACAGGTCTCTGCCACTGAGTCCCTACCCTCTTCTCCAGTGTCCCACACTCAATCCTGGCCAAGCTGAGCTTCCCAGACGCCCAGGCCTACCCACGCCTGCTCTCCACCAGGGCTGTACCTCACTTATCCCTGCCCACACTCCCCCGGGGGTTTTGTTACAGAGATTTGGTGACTGTGCCCACCAGGCGGGCCTTGTGGTATCACTGTGCACACTCACACAGAAGTCTTCTGACTCCGCTGTAAACAGATGCACACATCTGTCCCCCCACCAAGACGGAAGTCTCTGCGGACATGGGTCTTGTCTTATGCAACTTGGTGTCCCCCGTACCCAGAAGAGGGCTTGCCACGTGGGAGGTGGTGGCTGTAAGAATGACATTGATAGCAACGACACTGTTCTAACAAGAAGCATAGCCTCATTTAAGCCACACGATCAGATACATATTAAAATAAGTCACGGTCCCGTTTTCCATGACTTTCCTGTCGTTTCATTCACTCACATGAACTGACTGTAATATGCGCAGGCGGCTTGCCCGCCACGAGAGGGAGGCAGACACAGTCCCCCGCTCAGAGCTCAGCAGTGCTGGAGGATGGTGGGGTGAGGATTCACACAGATTCCAGAAGGAGCCAGGAGTCAACCTGTGGCTTATGGTCAGAAACTGCTCTGACCCTGCAGCTAGTGTGTCCATGACAAATCACTATGCATCTATGTGTCCATTTC